ACTTCCAGAATTACTACGACCATCATCAAAAAGGCACAAGTATTTATAAACAATTGTCTATGCGAGAAACTCAATGTACATTGACCGAACACCATCAGCAACAGCCTTCTCCGGGAATGAACAAACCAACTTCCAACTGAGGAAGAAATTACGAGAATACGATGGAAATGGATAGGCCATACATTACTCAAATCGTCAAACTGCATCACGAGGCAAGCTCTAACTTGGAATCCTGAAGGGAAGCGAAAAGGTGGAAGGCCAAAGAACACATGAGGTCAGGAAATAGAAGCAGATATGAGAAAGAATAACAACTTGACGGAGCTGGAAAGGATTGCCCAGGACAGGGGTTGGATGGAGGATGCTGGTGAGCGGCCTATGCTCACGAGGAGTAACAGGCGTAAGTACAGGAAGTAATATGAAAAAATCTTTCTTTCCGCTTACAGCATGAACGTATTGCAACTGGCCATTATTTTCGACCATGGAAGTGTCATGTTTTACGTTCACCAATCTCTGACACTGTGGTTACTTTCAGTAGTGTTATGTTCGTATATTGTTCAATTTTACTCAAAATTCTGGTTCTAATATCAGCATCTTCAAGAGATTGGAGGCTGTACATAAAGAAGAGACACTTAAACTGATCTTTTGTCATTGGTTATAGTCAGAAGTGCAGATATTCCCGGTTTACTAACCCCGCATGCTTCACCCAGTCATCATCACCTGCTTTTGTTATCTTGAGGTATTGATAACGAATATTAAACGAGGATGACTGTTCAGCAGACTTGCGACAAAATTTCAACCGTTGCATCAAAAGAAAAATTTCTTTGGATTCCTTGGAAGGATAGTTACTGTAACGTTCATGTTCAACCGTTCGTAAGAGTATTCTGACCTTTGCGGCGTCACCAAGTTTATTGAGGTCGACCCTAAACAAATCATCATATTTCTTGAACCAGGTTTCTAAAGTAATGCAGCCTAAATCATAAACTTTCTAATGGAAATATTGCTCTCGTCGACTGAATTCTCGGGCATTATTCTCCTTCCAGGAGGTCCACTTATCGAGTTAGAATATGCAGATGACATATTGCGGACCACTTAGGCGAATAATAGACAATTCAGCGGATATTTACGCGAAAAGTCGGCACTTTATCGACAAAGCGGCAAAAAAGGGGGAAATCCGCAGTATTCCCCCCACCGGACAGGCGAAAAAGACGATATTCTGATGCGTTTTCCCCTTTGTTCGCCTTTATTTCCCCTTTTTGGGTCGTCTGGGCCTGTTTGGTGAAAATGCTGATAAAATGCAGTCTTTTGTTAACACTAAGCAACAATGCCAGAATGTTTGGAATGCGCTTCTCCCCCCCTAAATGCAAGTTGTTGCCTCTGGACTGGTCTGCGTCAACACCTGAACTAAGGATAGGGAGCGAAGTAGTCGAACGCGTTGACAACTTCACTTATCTTGGAAGTCTGATCAGCCCTAATGGGTCGGTGTCTGACGAAATCTATGGCGAAGGCGAGATGGTTGGAAGAAAGTTAAAGGTGGCCAAACCAAAACGTGGCATCAGTGCTTGAAGTCACTAACTTCTTGTCAGAGCCATGTTGGTAGATGCAGACTACTTGGTTGAGGTCCGTGTGACTATCGTAACCAATGGTTGGAGACTTGGTGACATAGCTCAGGATCGATCACAATGGCGTAGGTGTATACACTCTCTCTCTTCCCTTAAACTATGAGATTGAAATCTTTCTACGTACTAATTCTTTCTTTCTGTACTATATTCTTATATGCAATCTTTCTTTTATATATTACCACAACTGAATTAACTACTTTTATGAATCCGGTGTTTATCTTGTTGTGTTAATGAGGTATGGCAACTTGAACCGATGCATATATGTGCCTGGTCCTAAGTTGTACCTGACTGACCTGGTTGGGACACGCGAGACGATAGCAACTGATGGTTAGATACCCTGAATGACATGGCTCAAAATCGTTTGCAATGGCGCAAGTGCATCCACTCTTTGTGTTCTCCCAAATTCTAGTCTTCTGAATTCTTCATGTCCGTTTTTTTCCCTTTCCAAATTTATTTCACTGAATTATAATCCTTGAATGACATCTTCAAACCTTAATCTTTCCGATTACTGCTTACACTGCTTTCACGTTGTTACTGACTGACTTGTTGTACCCCCGAAGACCACGTGATGATAAGCTGCTTTTGACAAACCAAACAATAAAGACTACGCTGATTGAATGACCGAGTTTTATTTAACAGATACTGACTGACCGACTGAAATAAATGATAAGATTGTAGTAAATTACGAGACTAGTCATTTTTACACACTTCGTCTATTCAACGAGACCATTATCCCAAGATACTAGGGGGGTAATTATTAATCGAAATCAAACATCTCATTAACCAATAAATTTGACTAATGTACTAGTAAATCAATATCTTGTGTCTTTTTCGAACGCATAGTATTCATTTTGAGCAATCTATAATGTGCTCATTGGCGATCGACTACCAGTAGGAAGTTTTAGTAAGAAACCGTGACAAATGGGCCTCAACCATGTTCGGGAGAGTTGGATGATAATCGGGCTACATAGTAAACTGATTAAGGTTGAAATTATATACCACTGGATTCAAACTAAGTGATCTACAGGTTTTGTGCTAGTTACCAGGCAAGAAAACCCTAGGTTTGGTCCCGTTTTAATTAACGTCGGGTCAAACACGAGGGCGCAACAGACGTCAAGTGGTCTTAAATTTTTAGTGGTTCACTAACAGATATTGATTATGGAGAAAGCCACCTTCATATGATAATGACAAACTCTTCTCAGGATTTCGTCGTGCGTTTCAAAAAGTTTCACTTTCGCACACAAAGTGTTATGTTGGGACCTCACATTAAAATGTTTATTGTTTTACTATGATCTAACCAAGTAACCATTTCTGTAAGACTGAAGAAAACTAGCTTCATCAGTAAAGGTGGTTTTCACCACAGATCGATGTTAGACAATCCTACGCAAATAAAATTCCTGAGTTGTTTCATCTTAAAAATATGTATCTCTACGAGTGCATGTTATACCTCAATTGAATATTCTTAAAATCAAAACATTATCATCTGACCGTCCTATTACGTAATATCCCTAGTTCCTCATATCTCTGCTAAACGGAATGTCTATTCCAAAGAATGAATCTTTAAAGTGAAAAATTTAGTAACGTTTTCGTAATTTATCAATACACAAAAAGAGTAGATAAGTTCACATCCCTTTTATTATTTTTAGCTATCAGTCTGTGATAAATTATAAAAATATAACTCATTTCAGAAGTAATTTTGTGCCATAAAATCAATTTTACGTGATGTTGTAAACATCTTTTTCATATAGAAGTTTTATAACGTTGAAGCGATCTTTTACAGCATAGAGAATTAACACCGTTAATTTACATTCTGGAGATCCTCGAAATGTACACTCACTCAAGCCCTAAGTATGCCATGGTTGATCACCGAGTAATTTATTAGCTCTTAGTGAATACCGAATTCTACTAATGAAGTTATAATGTGGTGACTAGTCTACGTAACCCATAAGATTTTAAATGCTGGTTGCTGACAAATACCAACTAGTACGAAACTTGGGTTCAGAGCTTTCGTCTCATTGTCTTTAATCACGAACTTACGCCTATACGATTTACAGCACTACGAAATAGCTATATCATATAATCTAGCAAGGTGAAATGTAATAGTCACTATCTGTGATAGCGACTTGCAAGTAGAGTGTTAATTCCTATTGAGAAAACATTAAAATATTCATTGACTTCTGATTTGCAGATTATTGCTAAACCAATTTCTTTGAAAGGTACTAAACTAATCACACTTTGTACGTAATCACATCAGGATAAACCTGTGTTCGAAAATAAATGGTCCTCTAGATAAAAAAATAATAATAAAACCTAAGATTTGTAGTCGATTCCTATCCGAAAAGCTAGTTGAATTTGTGAGCAGCTCTACATACTTCAGAGATCATAATTGATACATTACGCTAATAAGTAAGAAACGGATAGAGGCTAAAACCCTTTGGAATTTCGAATCTATATGAACTATCTGACGACGAAATAAAGTTTTGACCAATATCTCAACTATGTTCAGTATCATTATCTAGCTAAGTTACTGTCAGTAGTAAAGTTTGGGATATTCCAGACATTCATTTATCACTGTCTTCCAATTATTATCATTACATAAATATATACATTATTAGAGTTATGTATATAAAAGCTCATCTTTAAGACCACATAATATTCTGTATGCCAATTCTTGCGGAGGGCGTGTTGTTTGTGAAATTGAGAGGTCGAAAAGCGAATGTCCGGCGCTTTAACAGGGTTGGTGAATACAAAGGGTCCACCTAGGGGAGTTGTAAAACCTTGATTTCAAACCAATGGTGCATATAAAGTCCTGGATCCTGAAGGAACAAATGGCATATGAACCTACTGATGGCCACTAGCTACAAAGGGACTGCATCTCCTAGCGTTGCTTCACTGCCTTATGGATTGAACCACTAAGTCAAAGGGTCAGGGCGTGGTCCACTAAGGAAACCACCTGCTTCAGTTTGAGATCCCGAGCAGTATCCCAGCTCTAACACAAATCGAATGATGAAGTGTGGCGCATATGTATTCGGTGCCTCCTTGTACCAATGTTTACGTGTTTAAATAATAATAATAATATTCTGTAGGCATCCTAATCAATTTAAGCTTTAAAAAAAATACTAATTATTCGTAATCGACTAACAGATAGCTTAAAAACATCACACCATTGAAGCCAGGTTTATCCAAAAGCGTCTTAAGAACACTGACCCTATAAAAGGCAGTAAACACTGTGATTCGTGCACACGCAAAATAATAACACTTTTATTCCAAATGATATATGACTATGCATAACATACAATACAAAAAGGTTCTTCGTTAAAATCATTAAAAAAAATGAAACAAATAAGCATAGTTATCACACGTCCATGTTGTCTGTAATATTTATCTGAAAAATAATCTATTAAAGAAATGTTTATATAAGACAAAACATAATTTACCCATATGGATAGCCGTGATATTTCCTTCGAAAGACTGACAGTATAAAGTGGATAGATATAATAAACAGGGCTATTCCTGATATTGTGTAAACTGTAAAATGGTTAAATAAATAAATAAACAGGTGAAACTTAACAGAAAATTACAATAGGTGTTAGAAAAAATGCAAATCAAGGTACACACAAGAAAGTATATACTTGAACAAAGAATTTCAGCAATATTCTTAGATACAACCAATACTTCTCTATACCCGTGATAGCTTGATAATATACATTTTTGTTTTATGGTTTTAGTGAAGTTAGTCGGTGGAAGAATTGCAAAACTTTGCAGACTTCGAACAAACAAATTATCCAAATGTGATGTGGGCTACTTATATCCACACAAGTAGTATGTAACAATAGTCAGAAATAGGATGTATTTTGGTGGATCGAGAAGGAAGGAACGCGAACGGAAAACAATTGGTATGAAAATGCAGGAACAATGAAATCTGAGACGATGGACTGATATTTTGAAAATTAAGTATTTACTGTGTGGTTCTCAGATTTTAGTTATATTCTGTAATTTCGTGGGCAAATACATTCGATTGTCTCCACTCGTGTTCTTGTTCACGACCTGTGACCCGTTAGTGAAGGTTGTGTCTTAACTGCTTAAATACCAGCTCCAAATTCGCTACTGTATTATGCAGAAATTATTAGCATGTAGCACAGTTTAAGAATATAGTAAATGCTCTACGTTTGAGTTGAATATCCAGAATCTAGGAGTATCCCAAAAATTAGATCACCAAAGGATGTGTCAAAATAGAAATCATCCCAATAGAGTATGTAGTAAAAGTAAACTTTGCGTAAAGAAAAAGACATTTGTATGTTTTATAGAACATAAACGAACCGCACAACTTACCTTTTCGCTTTGTTGGATCAGTAGTTGAACTAACTTCGGTCATCAGAAGAATTCCCCCTGAGCAACCAATATCTTATTATAAGTCACAAATTAAGGTTAAGCACACAAACAAATATCATACAACAGAAAAAAAAACACCAAACTAGTCAAGGATACATAAAATCATCACAATAAAAGTCTCTGCAACAAATTGATAGTCAGAACCATCGTATATAAAGGCCTTCTAGTGTATAATTAGGCTGAATAAAGAAAAAACACATCTTACAATTTCTCCGTTAGGAGGTGGCGCATGAAAAAGCGGGGGTCCACGAATATGATTGTACACTTGCCCAGAAATAGAACATAAAATAACACCCTATAATAAAAAAAGTGCTTATTAAGTGACACTGTACATACTGGTCATTGAAAATAACTTACACTCAAACCACTAACGAACAAACTGTTAGCGATTGTTTTATTTCTATAATTTAGGCTTGAACTAGGATTACAAGTAAATAAAAAAATAGGGAGCTATGGGAAAATAGTTTACTGGTTCATGGTGCCGTTACTCTGGAAAAAATACGACGATAGGAAATTAAGAAAACAAGACAAACTGATACTACTACTAATAATATTAATTAATAAAACAGAACTAAAAATGCGGAAGGCATATTTAACATAGTTGCATCTCTTAAATACACCATTCGAGCAACATACCTATTTAACTAAGGTGAGACCTATTATTATCGAATGACAAATATACATCAACAATGATTGTTACAGAAGTTTTCTTAGGTCATTAAGACCACCTCTAATCCAATTTCCTTTTCAGATACCTTCAGAACAACCCTTCCACGGTGTGGGCAACCGGGAAGTGATAACCGCCCTCATACCTCTAACAGCACTCAAGACCACCACATTCATAATCGACCTCTTTCTTCAGTTCCTATTATTCCTCCTACGTCGACTTTCAACACTAAACTCCTTCTTTTGGCTCCCTCCTCAAGTATTACCATGGCCAACGATTCTAGTGCGCAAAAACACTGCTCCAGGTCTACTGAAATCTCGCTCCGAACTACACATTGAGGCCTTCAACGTGAGCACCCTATGTCAAACTGGCTAGCATGCGTCCTTGGCTGAGACTCTAGGATCTCGTACGATTGATGTATGCTGTCTCTGAAACACGCATACAGCATCCCAGTGTGGTCATTCACTCGACCTCACCTCGCCGAAACGAAGAGCCGATGATATACACCCTTCGTATATCTGGCGACCCGATGGCTATTTCTCATGGACTGGCGGGTGTAGACGCAGAACTAAGTACGAGGGCAGAACAAGCACTTTTGGAATGGATCTCCGTAACAGTAGTTTATGTGCTGTTCGGCTTAACGACTCCGTAAGAACTCGAAAGGACAGGGACACACGTCGTTGCCTTTTTGTCATTTCTGCCTACGCATCCACCGACTGCAGCTCGGATGAAGTGAAAGATGAATTTTACAGAAAGCTCTCTGAACTTCTCCAGAAAGCTAAACGCTCAGACATAGTACTCGTAGCAGGTGACTTTAATGCCCAGATAGGTAGTTTAAACCAAACAGAAAGCTTTCATCGTTCTTCTGAACGACATCATCAGCACAAACTTCAGATAGAAGAAGACAAACTATTCATTTGGAGGGAATAGTTCTTATAACCATTAACAGCATCTTGCAACATAAAATGCATAAAAAAACATCACGTTATTGTTAGCGGGACATAGGATGGATTAAAGCATGCTCAATGCATGATTGCTTTGGTGCACGCTGATTGGCTCATTCTTATCCAATCAGCACTAGTCGATAGTTAGAGAATACTCTAGAATCTTCTCATGTAAAAACTATAAATATACTGACGTTTTCTCTATTGTGCTTCCTACTGGCATCTTACTTCCATCTAACCTTGTTATTTGGAATATAATCTCTTTCCTGTTCAACCGTGTTCTGATTTGGGGACTTATCGAGTGAATCGGTGTCCGAGAATACTAAGCAATAGGAATAGCTGGGTCATAACCGTAAGAAGAGATTTATAACAGTTATTGAGGGTACTTAAGGCAAAATTACTAACATGAGAATAAGTATTTTGAAAACATACTACAAAAATTAACTACGCTGCTTCGGTTTGGGCACCCGGGCAGTATCACAGCCCTCACACATATCGAATGAGATTTGTGTGGCGCATATGTATTTGGTGCCTCTTTGTACTAATATCTATGTGTTGAAATAAATAAATAAACTACGCTATCGAATTCTATAAGCTTCAGTAGATAGTTAATCTCACGAATATTTAACGGTTAAACTGTCGAATACCCCAAACAATCTGGATCGATGTATTACTCTACTTTACCAACTTTACAACTGACAAAAATCTATTGCTTACCAGCGATATAGCACTCCATAATGAACGATTATATAGACAGTCCAAGTTGATTCGACGAAAGTACAAAACCGCAGCCCCAAGGGACATAAAAAGGGCAAGTATCATGGTTCCAGTATAATTTGGAGGTCGGAATAAACGAATCTGAGAAATTTAAAAGCGAAACATATTTACCTGGATTTGGGTAATTCCAGTTATCCATCGCATGATCGCCTCAGCAGAAAATCCATTAACCGTAATATCCATATAGTCCGATTGCTTTATATTTCCTTTAGGTGATACAAACACAATCGCAGGAGCAGTTTCTTGACGTAGCTAAAGTGGTGACTAGATTTTTATAACTTACAAACTCAAAGACACCAGGTGCCTTGTCAAAGTCTGCAATCGCGAAGAACAACCGATCATCACGCTGCTTAGAATACTTCCAAGAGTTCGATACTACTTGAAACTCTTCAAATGCTTGTCTGAATAACACTTGTGGGGATATCAAAGTGATACCAACCTGCAGGGCGCACAGTTTCTACTAGAACTTAAGGCAGTCAGAAGTAATATAACTGAGTAATTCCTAGGCTGTGATTTTAGTAGAAGATTAAATTGATCAATATCAAGACTGATATATGATTGGCTGGTAGTAAGCTGATTCATTTTCCTAACTTTTTTCTCTAATATCTGAACGACAATAACATCAAGATTTTGACCCTACCTCTTCAACTGAAATTCCATTTCCAAAAGCAAGCAAGGATAAATAAACAAAGAGAAAGAACATCCTCGAGAATGTGATGTCCATCTGTTGACAGACTCTCGTGGAAAGGGTGGATGAGTTGTAAAAAAAGCACGAAGACACGTAAGTTCGGTAGTGGCAGTTTACTCACCAAGCACAGGAATCTGGAAGAGAAAAAAATGGACTAAAGATTTAGTACATGCACGTAACTGAAAATAAAGCACTTGTAATTAAATGCTCAAAGGACCCATGAATCATTGATGTATGAATCCGAGTGAGAATACAGTAATTAAAACTGAGAACAGTATTTTTAACGAGTCAAAATAGTTCAAATGACTGTGAACAGAATAACAGAAGCTTAAGCTTAATGGACCTTCATGTATAGAGAAGAATCGTGAGTAAACTAGTATGGTACACTATTTTAGGTAACCAAGACCATATGAAGTTCATTTAAGCACTCAAGGGAATTTCGCTTGACCAGTCTAGTCAGTAGTGAATAAGATGTAAAAGGATGATGCACCGACAGCTTTGAGTGAACCAGTCAGCGTTGACATAGCACCTCGTAGATATTTTGCGCGAAATCAAGAGTGTTGCTTACAACGGGTTAAACTATATGCCCTTAGTCCCGATTTTGAAACAGTCTTAACCTGAAGCTTGTTATTGTTGTCTACTGCTTTCTTTAGCAAACGTAAGTGAATTATATGCACTTGCTAAGCCGTCAACGCACCTTTTCTTTTATTTTCTTTCAGCTCTCCTCGTTCACACTACTCTACATGCTCCCCTCGTAAACAAAGTACCACTTGACTGAGGTGAACCGGTACACTCTTATATAACACATAATTTGTTACGAAGTGAAAATTAGCAAGATTTGGTTTCCAAAGTTTGGAACTAATAGAAAACTTTACTGTACAACCGAATAGTGAGTACAGAAAAGTGAGTAAGCGAAATCAGAAGAAATACATGCTCCTGATTCAGACAGTGTCTAAGTATTTGGCGCGATTAAGTGTATAGTTAGCGAGTGAGATTATAATTTATGACGACTTTTGAGCGACGCTAAAGGGACCTTGAGAATGTTCATTTACTTACTAAGGCTTAATGAAGATTGTAAACCGATGGGAGGAGTAAGGATTATAATTTAATGTTAATGGTTAGCGTTTTTCATCACGAAATGACATCAACGAAAATGCCAAAACGCTATTTAGCCAAGTAGATCGATGGAATTGGCTCCAAAATCCTAGATCTGTTACCCTAAACCTTATTGGTCCGCCCATAAATTATAGTCACCCCGGCTAGAGATGTTAGTGAAGCTAGGTAGCAGTATTATTACTCTATAGATTCTGGCCCCAAGTTTGTAAACAAAAGTGGCTTTGAAGTTAACAGAAGAGGGTTCGTTCTTAAAGCAGTTTTTCTGACAACATAGGATTTTAGACCACAGTGTATCAAGATTCCTAGATCTTTTTTTAACTGGTGACACATGTAGGAGAATTTAAAACAAGTCGCGTAACGATGCGCTTATTTTGAGGAGTTGAAAGTAAGTCTATAGTTGTCCGGCTTGCTTTAAAGCCGAGTCATACACTTTTGGAGTGTCAGATTGTTACTCTAGTCGCAAATTTCTACGTATATACGCACCTACGCTGTTCACTCACCAGAATGAAAACGTACTTACACTTAACAATTTCAAAGATAAAAGGAAATTGGCTGTTGAGTGTTAACTGAAACTGAAATATCGGTCTAGAGTAGGATAGAACTATACCAACTAACCAGATAAAAATGATTCACAGTAAATGCACTTACAGGCTGGCAATCAAGTAGGTCTAATTGATGAGTTTAAACAAAACAAACAAACTTGAAAAAACTCTTTAAACTTCCGTCTTTTCCCTGTCATTTATAAATGTGCTCAAATGTTTCATTGTTTTATGTGTAGAAGGATCATGTTTTTGTTTAACGCAGTGGCTTTACATGTTTCGGGACTGTCTAGCAGAACCAGCGAACAGATAGTTTCCCTTGTGATCATCTGGTCCAGAGATGATCCGCATATTTAAAACTGTACGATTTTTTCTTCGGTCCTTTAGGAACCAAAGGAGAAAGTATATTTCCAGTCCATTGATTGAAGGAAAGCACCAGGTTTACATAAACTTACTACTGTTTGTAATAGAAATGACACTGAAAATCCGTCCAAAGCATTTTTTAAACATTTCTGTTACTTATTTGTTCCTTGTCTTGTGTTCTAACTTTCATTCAGGTCCCTCTAAACTACATGTTATGTTCCTCAGCTTTCCTTGTCTTTTATTATTTGACTTTGTCTAAAGATTTACATTTTATCACTTGATTTTACCGTTGCACGTTGCCGGACTATCAACAACCGGGCCATGTTTTACTAAAATCAGGGTTACAACGTGGTTCGGTGCATGGGTAATAACCTTTGGCCGTCTGCTTAGAGAAGTTACTGTAATCCTTGTACATGGATATCTGATCCCATAGCGGAAATATTCTTATTGATTCTGAAATACCGAACTTGTAGATAGCCAACGTCGATGATTTGTATCGAATGATTGGGAGCCTACTCCAGTTAGACGGGGATAGTGTGACCAAACAGCCGATGACGAAGTCACACCTCACAGTAAGTATCGAACGTGGATTACCCCACCGCCGTATGACTACTTTTATGACCGTATAGCACAAACAACGTTATTACAGGGATATATTTGTAAGAGTAAGTACAAAGAAGCAGAGTTCGACGATATGATGGGCGCTGACATTTCACAGTCCCTAAAAACTGATATCTATCAACTATTCCTATTGCTGTTTATTACTTTATTTTGTGCTGGGGCGACCTTTGTTCAGCACGGGATGAACCGTTTAAAGTATTTTTCGCCTTTAATATGACTTCTTCCTTAAATTAGAACCGTTTAAATTTAAAAAAGTTTTTGCTTTGTTATTGTAGGTCCAGTGTAGTGTCACTGAACTTTAGCTAAATCATCCAACTGTTTGGTCAGTGAATGTCGGACAGTTCACCGATCCTCATCAAGTTTAGGGATAACCAACGCGCATCAATTAATCGCACGCTATGGACTGGCCAAAATGATGGTCGTCTTCCTTGCAACCATGCTTATTAAAATAACCCTTTTTACGTTGTACGGTCTTCAAAGCAACCATAGTACCTGAATAAAACGAAAGGGAAATCCATATTAGATACTTATTGTGAGGTGTGACTTCATCATCGGCTGGTTGATCACACCATTCCCGTCTAACACTAGAAGGTCCCCAACCATTCGACACAGATCATCTGCGTCAGTGATCTGCAATATACTTTAATGCGAGTCACTCAAAAACGCTTTGCACGCAATATAAAAGAACGTTGTTTGACTTAATCCAGTTAACCACACCATCTCATATTGTAATGGTTTAATTAGTACACGATCTTAGGATGAGGTTCCCTCATCGTTCGTGCATTCTTGGTTTCATTTCCAGCACTTTGAATGTGGCATGGACATAAGGGAGAGCCTGATATTGACTGGGGGAGTACCTCAACAGCGATAAATTTGGTCCTAATGAGATTTGCATCTTTCAAACTTTATGTGTTCTTGGGTAACAAAATTACCGTCTTTGATCTAAAGAATCTGCCCTACTTTTAACATTCGGTAGATTACTTTTCCTTTCAACTCCAATCCACGTTAATACCTATCTGTGGTTGTGTTTCTGATTTTTATTTGGTTTTCACGGTCTTTCTCATCGATGTTGGTTTCGTTATATCTTGAATTTTTATACTACCCGTTTTTATACTTCTTATCAGTTTTGATGATATTACTTTCTTTTCACGGTCATAAACTTTTATTAATATTTATTCAGCAACTAATTTTGCACCATGATCATTGGGACACACATAAAAGCGATATGAATGTTGGTTTTCTGTTACCTATTGTGTTCAATGTGACAAGTGCAAAGCTTGACTGCACTAAGCAGACCTTACAGTAACTACTTGGAACAGGATAGTTAAATCAGATCACAAGTGGGCATGTAACACATCCAACATGAATGCTGACGTTTTGCTGAGGCATATCATTCCTTGACAGGTCTGTGGAAAGTTATCGGAAGCCCTGAAAAGGCGCTCTTGAAACGGATAAACAGAGCAAGGCGCTCTGAGAGACAACACAGAGGGCTTTCGATAACATTAGTACTTATGGAACACTCATCGACACTTGGGAAGCTGTGCTGGGACTCAGCACCGCCATAACATCGATGGTGTCAGGCTTTTTCAGCAACCTTGTACCCCGAGCACAGAATCTTCCAATGCGACTGTGGTCTGTAAAACTTCTACTGTATATGACCCGAATCCCATCGACAGGGTAAAGAGGAATCGAAAGTCACCGTGTAAATTACTGAACAGCCCAGATTTTGTAAGGAAACTATTTAATGAATCGGCAGCGTCATCTACTCCTAAGATTGTCTAATCTGCTAACCGATTGTACGGGGTTCCGGACCGTTATCAAACTGCCAAATAAGAACCCCAACCTCAACGTGATGGAAAACATGGGAAAGCATTCAAGGTTTGAGATGATCCTCTCATGATCACTAACGTTAGAAACATCTCTGACCTCCCTATCAATCCACAGGACAAAAGTGACCGAATGTTTGGGGAAGACTTTAACAGGAAGCAGAGACTTCCCGGAATTGAACCATTTAACGTCACACATCTTTTCCTGGAGGAGGAGTCCTAGCAACAAAATCATCCGAGACTACTTCGTGCAACGTTCGTCAACACCATTGATGTTCTGCTGGCCAGCCACTTCGTGAATTCAGAGGAGTACGTGAGGACACTGCTTGATGTACCACATTCTGAGACATGTCCCAGAAGGAACATCTCTAAGGAATCTCGCATGACGTTGTTTTACGGAAGAAATATCATTGTGCAAGGTGTGCCAGAAAACATAAACACTGACCATGCAGACTACGATACTCTAGAGATGAAGTTCATAGACCAGTCTTTGGAGCTGAAGAACATAATGACCCAACAAGTTGTTTGATTAGTCAAGAAGGAGGATTCTGTACCCCGACCAAGAAAGATA